TTTAATCAAACGTGGATAGTGAAATATTTAGTCTTGTAAAGAGAAAAGAAATGAAGCTTCTGGTCCATTGCACTCAATTCCCTCTTACTGTCAACTTATTGTATTTAATAAAATATTTCCGACAGAGTTTGGCAGGTGAAAGACAAAGTACACCCAATTGCACTGTGTGCTAAAACCAACGACAAAAAAGGAATTTTTGTTTCAAACTATCTTGAAGTTCATAAAAGTAAGTTAAGACTGAAATATCAAACAGACAGTGGGTATACATAGTAATTTTTTAATATAAAGTGAAGGCTACCAGACTACCATACACTTTCTGGCTTTATATATTCACAATATTTTACTGTACTACAGTAGAGACAAAACAAGAAGGAAGATAGTTTACCTTTAACCTACATTGACTTAACCATGTGTGTGTGAAAATACCCAAAGAAAAAAATAATTTTAAGGAACTTTGACATGTAGTTTTAGATAACTTTTTTAAGGAACTTTACGAGTCGTTGTATGTAATTCATTTTAAGAAACTTTGACGTGTAGTTTTATGTAACTCATTTCATGGAATATTTATATGTAATTTCATGTAACTCATTTTAAGAACCTTTGACATGTAGTTTTATGTAGCTTATTTTAAGGAACTTTAAGTGTAGTTTTATGAAATTCATTTTGAGGAACTTTGACATGCAGTTTTATGTAACTTACTTAAAGAACTTTGACATGTAGTTTAATGTAACTCATTTTAAGGACCTTTGACGTGTAGTTTTATGTAATATGTTTTAAGGAACTTTGACGTGCAGTTTTATGTAATATGTTTTAAGGAGCTTTGACGTGGGGTTTTATGTAACTCATTTTAAGGAATTTTGACGTGTAGTTTTATGTAACTCATTTTAAGGAACTTTGACATATAGTTTTATGTAATTGATTTTAAGGAACTTTGACGCGTAGTTTTATGTAACTTACTTTATGGAACATTGACATGTAGTTTTATGTAACTCATTTTAAGAAACTTTGACGTGTAGTTTTATGTAACTCATTTTAAGGAACTATGACATGTAATTTTATGTAACTTATTTTAAGGATCTTTACGTGTAGTTTTATGTAACTTATTTTAAGGAACTTTCACGTGTAGTTTTACGGAACCTATTTCAAAAATCTTTACATGTAGTTGTATGTAACTCATTTTAAGGAACTTTGACGTGTAGTTTTATGTAACTCATTTTAAGGAACTTTGACGTGCAGTTTTATATAACTCATTTTAAGGTACTTTGACGTGGGGTTTTATGTAACTTATTTTAAGGTACTTTACGTGTAGTTTTATGTAACTTAAGGAACTTTGACGTGCAGTTTTATATAACTCATTTTAAGGTACTTTGACGTGGGGTTTTATGTAACTTATTTTAAAAACTTTACATGTAGTTGTATGTAACTCATTTTAAGGAACTTTGACGTGTAGTTTTATGTAACTCATTTTATGAAACATTGACATGTAGTTTTATGTAACTTATTTAACGAACTTTGACGTGTAGTTTTATGTAACTCATTTTAACAAACTTTACGTGTACTTTTATGTAACTCATTTTAAGGAACTTTGACGTGTAGTTTTATGTAACTCATTTTAAAATACTTTGACGTGGGGTTTTATGTAACTTATTTTAAGGAACATTGACGTATAGTTTTATGAAACTCATTTTAAGGAACTTTGACGTGTAGTTTTATGTAACTTACTTAAGGAACTTTACGTGTAGTTTTATGTAACTCATTTTAAGGAACTTTGACATGTAGTTTTATGTAACTCATTTCAATAAACTAGATTGTTTTTTTATTTTGTCTTCTAGACTTTTATCTATAAAATTTAAAAGGCCAGACACAGATAATGCAAAACGTGGTGGTACGTTGCGTCCAACGAAACCTAGAGAAATTTCCAGATTACATTCAGTAATTCTTTTGAAATAAAAAAAATCAAACTTCAATGAAAGAAACAGTCACGAGTATACTCTCACACATACACACACAGATGTTGTTAAGTCTACACGGGTTTGGGCCTGGCATGACATTGTGGTTAGTGTGTTCAACTCACAATCTATGGGTCAAATCCCGTCACCGGACATGCTCATCCTTTCAGCCGTGTGGGGGTTATAATGTGACTGTCAATCTAACTTTTCGTTAGTAAAAAAAAAGGAGCCTAAAAGTTGGCGGTGGGTGGTATTGACTAGTTTACTTCCACCTAGTCTATCACTTTTCAATTAGGAACGGTTAACCCAGATAACGCTCCCGAAGTTTTGAGCGAAATTCAACAAACAAACAATCTGTTTAGTACCAATTAACTATCACGGAGAGTCGATCTAAATACTCTCTAGGTCCATACTCCGGATATGGCAAATCTTAAAATAGAATGCACATAAAGACAAAACTCTAATTTCGTAAAGAAAAACTAAACCTGTGGTAGAATGTACTTGTTCTAAGCAGTAAAATCTTGATGCAAGAAACGATGTTTGGGAAAGTAACAACACTCTCTTTATGCGTAGTAACAACAAATGTCTGCCTCATTTCTATACGTAGTAGCGACAGATATCTGCCGCATTTCAATACGTAGCAAGAACAAATGTCTGCCTCATTTCTATACGTAGTAGCGACAGATATCTGCCGCATTTCAATACGTAGCAAGAACAAATGTCTGCCTCATTTCTATACATAGAAGCGACAGATATCTGCCGCATTTCAATACGTAGCAAGAACAAATGTCTGCCTCATTTCTATACGTAATAGCGACAGATATCTGCCGCATATCAATACGTAGCAAGAACAAATGTCTGCCTCATTTCTATACAAGAGAATTACAAGACTGATCGTTGAACAGTGTAATTAACACACGAAAATGAATAAATATTAGGCCTTACCATTACTTGGCTTCTGACTTTAAAGTCCACCGGTAGATTAGCGGTGAGTATCCGGACTTACAATGCTAAAATCCGGGTTTCGATTCCCCGCGGTGGACAGAGTTTTGAGTAGCTTTGTGCTAGAAATATCTGACAACAACTGACTTTAGGAAAATAATGATGCGATGACGTGAAAGCTCTTTTGACATTTCTAGCGCGTTATCTTTATGTTTTTATACCATCTTTGTTCTAGAATGTTTTATGATCAAATAGGAATACATCGTCGTGTTTTATTACATCGCTTAGCTTTGAATTAGTTCAAAATTTGAAAACATAACTTCAATTTCAAATACGAATAGTTGGAATACGTTTGATTACAATACATTACAATACTCTATTGCAATACATTTTTTTCGTATAAATTTAAATCTGGTCGAAAACCCTAGTTTAGTTCGGAGTTTAAAGATTCAATACAGAGATTCGAGGTCCCCTTAAAACTGACTTAACCTTCTACAGAATTCCTAGGAATCTTCTAGTTTCCCACAGTGCAGAGTAAAGTTAGCGGAAATGTGAGCCATCTCCGGCAATAATAAGCCCTCTTCCTGCTCTCTTTACCGCTATAATAATTCATTTGCTGGTCTTGTATATGATTATTACACTTCGCTTAGAAAAAATAAAATAAGTGATTTATGGAAAAACGTCTTCAGCTCAAGAGAGGAAGTGGGTAGTTGTACGGTTTCAGAAAGTTAGTGAGGTATTCTGGTGTATAAACAAATAGGGTAAATATTATTGAAGGAAGTGGGCCGAAGCCTATAAATTGCACTTTACTGCTTTGAAGAAGTGAATCCTTATCATAATTTGAAAGCCAGTATTATTCTATCTTTAAATTTACAATGCTTATCATAATTTGAAGTTCGAAGCAAAGTCTCACACAGAGTTTGGTGGAAACCAGAGAACACGAGATTACGAGTCCCCCTGGCAATCGAAAAACTTCTGTCGACAACAACGGTTTTATGACAAACAAAAACTAGCTCAAAGTTTTATGATTTTTTGCACATTACAGTTTATACAAAGGCTATTAGAGTTATGCAAAACAGAGTGTTCTATGATGGTTAATTAGACTTGTAAGCCCTAAACGTTCATATTGACGTGTGGTGCTTTCAGAAACAATAAGAAAGATAAATTATTACCCCGAATTCACGCGTTCTACTTATAGATTTTTATGTAATATGCATATTGCTACTTGTAGATACAGTAAGCGATATTTTGAAGGTAATTTCCTTTTCTTCTGATCTTTTTTTTAAATTTATATTCTCTTCATCTATGCGCTACATCATTTTTCTATCATGAGTTATCAGGGTTTTATTTATTTTCGAATGCAAATAATATTTACTTTATGTTTTATTAGTAAGACCTAACAAAAGTAATGCTATGAATTGGGACGTGGGTCGCTCCCTTCTATTATCTTGAGCCGTAGAACACCAACTCATCGTCCTATGTAAAGGTACCCGAGCTACGTGCGGCATTACACGTCACATTCGTTTGACGTTGGCTTCATGTATTTTGTTACGAACATTCTTGTTCCATTGAGCACTCGTTAACGGCACTAAGGCGATAAAATTGAAATGCATGTGAAACTCGAACCGTTTGTTGGATTGCTTATCCATTAAAACTCCATCTTTGGTGGGGGTAGGAGGAAGTCTATCTGAATCTCTCTCTAATAAATGTTATTCAAATTACTTTAGCCAATTTCTCAGAACAGTTTGTGACACGGTGTTGGACGGATAACTCTGATTTATACATAAAAAGATCCTCCATCACTTAAACCTTAGCTTAATGTTTCTTTTGGCCACAACCTCAATACTTATCCTATTATCTACTCCTTTTTTACTTTCATTTTGTTTTGTTGTTGTGCTGCTGTAAAAATTTATTAAATGATATTTTGCTGATCCGGTTCATTATGTTGTGAGTAAAATTTCTCATTATGCCTGCTTCTTTTTACATATATGTTTTAACGTTTACTTAGATCAGTTAAAATAATAGGAAATACGAGAGAATGAGTCGAATGCCCAACAAAAAATAATTTACTCCCACAGTTTCTATGAACTAATGTTATTAAATACTTACTGGACAGTTTCTCTAAAGAACGATCCTCGTTCTTCTTATGAACTGTTTCTCTAAGTCTTGTCGTGAGTTAGGCCAGCTGCTTTATACTGAATGAGCGATCCTCGTACTTGAGCGCCTGTTCGTTATCGACCTCGAATACGTATCGTTATGAACACCGCACGATTTGGGATTATGTTTGCTACGTCAGTTGCGAACATCGAGATTATCATAGCAGCATGTTTTTACATGTTCTGCTATACGTATCTCTCATACGCTAGCAGCTCGGTCAGAATGAAAATCACTGGTCATCAGGCCTCCCAGTTGCCCACACTATTAATTATACTAGGCATTGGAAAAGGGAAAAAAAAATTAACTCACGTAGAAACACAAGAACCTCTACTTGTTACAAGTCTATTACACGTTGTGTGGTATTACCTAATTACATTTGATCCGGAGAATATTAAGTCTGGGTACGTTAATTTTATATACATTCCAGGACGTTTCCGTTTTCGTGCTTACTCTATTCTTTATTGCATGGACGTCATATATTCTACAGTTGAATAGTATAACAGAAGTGTTATTTTTTTGAACTTGCGGTAGAAATGTAAAATAACATATACTTAAATATACAGATATGTAAATAGCAGTTCATTATATATAATTTATAAACATAATCTTTGCTAACACGACTATCTTTTTTTTTCGCCCCCCCCAGTGGCACAGTGGTATGTCTGCGGATTTACAACGCTAATAATCGGGTTTCGATACCCGTTGTGTAGCTTTGTGCTTAACTTCAAACAAACACGACTTTTTTATTACATTTTCAAAACTCTAAGAATAACGTAAGATAAATACCTTATAGATCCCGATGAAAATATCTGGCAAAATAACAAATAGATAAGTATTCACATTCATAATTTTATACTAATAAACCAAATCAGTACTAGAACATTTTATGTAAGAAACTAACTCATTAGTGCTACTTAACAACCACTTGGGTTCTTCAGTTACCTTTTTATCACAAAATATTTCCCTCTCAATAATTCTTAAATGTAAATTAATCACTAACATTTCAAGATTCAAGGTTCGAGCGCTCCGCATTTTCAACTGTAGCTATTTTTCAATTGTAACAGTCAATTCTATTATCCGGCTAAGAATAGTCGAGTAGGCGGCGGGTGCTTTTAATTTATCAGCAATTCTAAATTAAAGGTGCCTGAGCCTAGGAATCCCAGACCTGACCGCTCAACCCACGTGTCGCATAAAGGAAGAGTCTCTCTGGTTGAAAATACTGAATAACAAAAATGTAATCCACTGCTAATAACAAGCTTTATTTTTAATGTTGTACAGATGCTTCTCATAGTAAGAATTATCCAAACAAATTTCCAACGATCAGAAGATAAAATAGGTATCAAACTGCTTTATCTTTCACTGGCGTTCAGCTTGTAGATTCACGTTAATTAAACTAGTTTCTAATGTAGCGCTTTTGAGATTTAAATAAAGGTTTTCTTCTTATTTATGTAAAGTTAAAGTTGTTTCTGTATTACACAAAAATGTTTATGTTATTCGAAAATAAAAATAAAATTATATTTTCGAAAACAATAAATCTAATGTTCCATCTTTGAGAATGATTATGAACATAAAAATATCTATATATATAACATAATACAATGTGATCAGTAGTATTTGAACTACAATACCATACCGAATAAAACTCACTCATAATATTCGGCATTTGTCACTATAATGACAAGTTTCACTCTGAACAAGTCTGTCGTAATAGGAAACATTCATCGGGATAATGGAGGTTTCAACCATCAAAGTGAGGACCATGTTTTGAGTGGATGCCTTAAGAAGATTCGCATACTTTAAAGGGTAGCTACTGGTAAAGCTAGAATTCCTGTAGGTAATACACATTCAGTAAATCGTTTTGATAATCCAGACAGAAAACTAAACTGATTTATATATATATATATACTGCTATTCAAAGTCATCCTTAATGGTTTACCTACGCTTTTTATATAATATAATGACGTTTTGGGCTTAGACGTCCAACTGTGCATTGTGAGAACAGATTTTTTCATAAAAACCAGCCAGTTATTTATAAAAATGTCTGTTCTTCCAGACTGAAAGTTTTTCAAGATCCCTTGTTTTCTGTACCGTTTCCAAGCAGTTTTATCATTTTTTTATGTTGTAAGAAAGTATATGATTACAAGAGACTGTGCTCCAAAATAACAAACTGAAAAGTTTATCATAAGTATTGCTTGCATGAAAATGTAAAACATCAATAGCCCAAAGAATAAATAACGAGTCAGAAGTTGTTCTTCAATAGCAGAGATATATATATTAAGCAAGATATTCAGGACTTCAGCATCCAACAGATGATAAACAGCTCGGAAACTAAATGATGAATAAGGAGTTTTTCTTGAGTAATAAATATGGATTACGCAACATATTCAAAACCTAAACATTCAACAGAGACTAAATAATGAATCAGAATATTACGCAGGATATTCATAACGTCAAGATTCAGCAGATAACATAATAGCTCAGATAAAAAAACGTTTCACATTTGATAGAAAAGAAATCACTGACAGTATTTGTTTCCTTCCACTTCCACTAACTATTGTTGAGAGTAAACTTGATAAATCGGATAAACAGAGTAAAATTTAATGAAAGTACAACGTTTCACCAGGTTAACCTGGCATCATCAGGTACGTCAACTACGATGAATGAATTGAAACTACAACATTATATATAATACAGCGCAAGGATACATTGAACTTTGACTGGGTAAATTTAACTGTAGGGTATGATATTTCCGGAGGTTGTTTATTGACTTCTTGAGGGGTCCGTAATCAACAACATTTATAAATTAAGTACTGTAACTTGAAAATTGCAAACAGAGGTAAAGTGATTCACAGATAATAATAAGAGAGAGTGTTTTTAATGCTAGAAAAAATGGGATGAAATATGTCATTTTTCAAATAATTTATGTAAATAAATGTTGTTTATGTGTTCCGTTGTTGTTTAAATGACGCCTTCTTTCACAGAAAGAAAGATCTTTTTGAAAGTTGTTTGTATTCGGAAACTGGTGTAAGCTTTTCCTTTACTTTTCACAAAGTGTATCTATCGCATGCATTAATAAAACGATTATGTACACTGACACTAATAATTCGGCAGAGTGAAGTTCCTTTCGATGATATCTTAATAAAGGGCAGTATAGAGCAGAGGAAGTGGACGTGATCTAAAGTATTATCAATTCCATGAACCAACCACTCGCCTGAAAGCAAAGCGTTTCCTAATAATGAGTTTCCTGCACAAATGAAAGGAAGAAAGCAATATTGCAACGCTGACTCATTGTACACAATGAAAAGCAGTCTTCCTGATATGTTGCCATAACACTGAGTATAGATTGAACTTCGCAATAGGGTGATAGACTGGTCTGTGTTTGGATATAATAAGTAAAACTTCTGAATCGCTTTTAACGCCCTCTAATTGCATTATTTAATCTGATTACTAAAACTCGTTTCACTAAGTGGCACAGATATTAAACATAGCATTAACTATTACAAAAACACGTTTCACTAAGTGGCACAGATATTAAACATAGGATTAACTATTGCAAAACTTCGTTTCACTAAGTGGTACAGATATTAAACATAGCATTAACTATTACAAAAACTCGTTTCACTATATGGCACGCTCCCCAGTGGCACAGCGGTATGTCTGCGGACTTACAACGCTAGAAACCGGGTTTCGATACCCGTGATGGGCAGAGTACAGATAGCCCAATGTGTAGCTTTGTGCTTAATTTCAAGCAAACACTAAGTGGCACAGATATTAAAAATAGCATTAACTATAAAAAAAACTGGTTTCACTAAGTGGCATAGACATTAAACATAGCATTAACTACAAGAGGGACGGAATGTCTTCTTATTTCTTAGTTCTCTAGCTTCCACTTAGAACTTTAGCTTCCCCGTATTCCCCGGATGCAACCGACATTTTAAAAGAGCTGAAATAATTGAAGGCAATTTTTTATATAGAATATATAAAGTATTTTTAAGCATCTTTTGGTTTTGAGTTAGCCCTTCCAACCAGCTTTGTTTAGGGCAAAATAAATTGTTTTTTTTTTTATAGTTATTCCATTCGAATTTGAATTGGTCACTTTTATCATTAGATCGTTTTAATGTCTTTACCAAGTACTCCAGATCATTCATCCTTTTTAGATGATTCACTTGAACTAATTACTAGCAGTTCGGTTTGGCATTTTGATCACTTCAACACAAGAACAATACAAGAAGAGGTCATTTGTATATCTTACCTTTTAGACAATGCTATATTATCAGTGAAGTAAATATAGCGTAGAAGAACGTAATAACCTTATATCATAACACTGATAATTAGAGGTAAGAGAACATTAAAACTTAAATTATACACCATTCAATCATCGTAGAACACAAAACACTACTCGCTAGTTAATGGTTTCGACAGTACACAAGTCTAAAATTGTGATGTATTGAATTAGAAAGAAAAAGCGCTTACAGACTTTCCTTAGATTCAAATATATTGTACCATTTCAGTTTAGCTTGAAAATGGAATATTTCTCAATGAGTACAAAATAAACGAAAAAAAGCCCTTACAGACTTTCCTTGGATTCAAATTTATCGTACCCCCTTTAGTTTAGATTGGGAATGGAATATCTTTCAATAAATAAAAGATATATTTCCAATAGATCTTTATAACACTGGTTGTAAGGAAAACTCAAACGTATTAACTAAATATCTAGATGATGGAGTGGGTGCCTTTAACCACATGTAAAACAATTTTTTTGTTATACAAACTTTAACTTTTAACACGTTCAATGAATAATTTCACATGACGAACTTTGGAATATATTTTAACACTGAAATCGTGACAGAAATAAGAAAGCAGTATTATTAAATACAAATGCTTATTTTGCAAACCATCTCACAGAAAATATTACCTCATATATCCGAAGTAGTGTTTCTGTAACAGTATCAAACAATTATTGAAATACAAACGGAATCTTTTATTTCCAGTGAAGTAGGATATGTAGTAATATTCTAATAATTAAAACTAATTATATCATTATCGTTAAAGTATATAAATTTTAACTCAATGTTTGTATGTTTTTTATAAAGAATTTTCAGAAAAAGATAGATATAAGTTAGCAAGATATGAGAACTATTGGCACCTTTGAAGGCAGTAACAACCTGTTTGTGA